TGTTAAAAAATCGTTATGATGTAAATTTACAAGAAAAAAATAAAAATACTTATTGTTTCCATAATAATATCAACCCATTTTAACTACAATTATTATTAATAAATTTTGCTTAATTGCTTTGCAAACCCCACTTCTAATCAACATACTTACAATAAGAAAAATCATTTTTTGATGAAGAGCCTTTTGCCCTTGTAAAAGGTATTCTATGTTGATTAGCCTTGTAAGCTTTGTTTCCAAGTGACTTCTATTACACATGTATTGTAGATATTTTTACCAGATAATTCGGAGGTAATATTTACTAACCTAAGTCCAGTGGGTATTGATGTTTTGGTTATAAATTATTTTTTTTAAAAACAAATTGTTTCTTTTATGTGATTAAAAATTTTTTAAATGTCTTTTTCAATAAATTTCAGTCAATTAATGTACCATGTTTTTCAGGGGCATTATTTCAATCTATTATTACATTAATTACATAGAAAAAACCCTTTAAAAAAAAAAAAACTCTTATATATTTTTATGACCTTGGGAAATCTTGGGAAATTCGTTCACCAAATCTTGGGAAATTTAAAAAAAGTGAGTGGCAGCCCTGCTCTTGAGCATTAAAGAGAGGAAACCAACATGATAAAGAAAAATGTTTGTTACACGCATACAAGTGGTTAGAATAAGATGGAACTTGGTCAACTTGGAGACATTTAAGAAAATAGGTCTACCTTTCAATCATCTAGGACCAGTATCCCACCTTTGTGTGCCAATTCACCCAGCAGGATGAGCCTTGTTTCACACAGAGGTACTTCTTGCAAAGTGAGCACCAGATGTTGCTCTTCACCTTCTTGCATGGATTGTCTTTGTAAGACACTCCAGGATTTTGCTTCGGTAAAAGTGCAGTTCAGGTGCGTATGTTATTTCTTAACACATTTCGTATTTTTAAAATTTTTTTTTCATGTAAACTTACGTGTATTTTTAATAATTAAATACAGGCAGTTATAGTTAACTAATTCTGAATTATTAATCGCATCTTTTCTTTTTATTTTACTTCTAAAGAGTCTTTAAACATCCCCCAACCAAAGTGAAACAGCCCCATTTGTTTGTATTTTTCTTTTCACCCTATGCAAGATTTTTAGCCACCTATAATGCTATACGAAATTTTCAAACTGTAAGCATATTCACAAAAAAGAATGAAATACTAGATTTTTTTATTAGGCGCAAGCCCCCCCCCCAACTTTCTTTTTTTTTTCCTCTCAGAGCGCTCGGAATATAGGGGTTGTCTTTTGAAGTAGGGGGAGGCCGGGGATCTTTGAAGTCGGGGGAGGCGGGGGGGGGGGATTAGACGTGGATCACTGACCCAGGGTATGAACCGAGTGCACCCGCCCCCCCCCCCCCCCGCGACGGTCCCAGCCCGACCTCCGCCCCCAGCTGCCGAACCACCGGAAGAGTCTCACATCTCAATCTAGGAGAGAGGAACGCGAGAGGGGCGCACTCCGTTTCCCAGACTGAAACACGAGACCCCCCCGGTGACTCGGCAACCGAGAGCAAAGGCCAAGCTGGGACCACCACGAAGCGGAGAGGAAAACGAACGCACCCAGTTCACACCCCAAGGCAGTGGACACAAACGTCATCATTGTCCTGGACCTGGTGTGAAGCTGAAAAAATAAAGGGGGGGGGGGTTGCACGAATACGTGCCAATGTGTGATCACGTGTCCACTTTAAAAAAACTAATATTTGTGACGTTGCAGAAATGGGGGAAATCGGAATGATAGCGTGGGGTCATTTTGATAGTCATCTCATCTTGAAGGCTGCTAATACGCTGTCCTTGATTGGTCAGCTCTAATTTGAGCACCCCTCCTCTTTTTTCGTATGCAAATGCACTTATTAATGGTGACTGATTTGCACTGAGTAAAGTGAGGGCTAGTGATTATTTTTTTTTATATTATAAGACGGACTCGTTTTGGCTTTGCGGTATTGCTGGTTGTAGGATCATTTTGTTTAAAATGTCAGGACGACCAAGAAACAATAGCTAAAATTGTTGATGCAACGGGCATTTTTAATGGTGCAGCATTTGGTTTAAACGCTCACCTTGTGGGGCAACAAATAACATTAATACGACAGGAATTTCTCCTAAGGCTCGTAACAATTACAATGTGGCTTGTAAGCTGGGTTCGAATGTCAAGTATGTGAGCTCCCTATAATTACCGGGATCTGCATATCCCCCGAATTGGGATCTCACCGTAACCGGTATCCCACCGGGATCGGTAACCCACTGGATCGGGATCCCACCGGGATCAGGAGCTCATTTGGATAAAATCCTATCGGGATCGGAATCTCACCGAAACGGGATCCCACCGGATTGGGATCTCATTTAGTTTGGGATACCACCGGAAACGGATCTCACCAGGATCTGTATCTTACCGGGATCGGGATCCCAACATGACCAGGATTCCATCGGAATCACATCGGGTTCGGGATCCCATCATGATCCTTCTGGGTGCCATCGGAAAACGGGAAAAACGAAATGTTTACATAAGTTATTTTAATTTTAAGTGTTTTTATAGGAGACACATTAATTACTATAGTGTTGTTGTTTTGTTGTTGACATTTCGTTTAATAACAATGTGAACTAAAAGGACGTAGCAGATTTTTTTTTTTTCTGAATGCAGCCCCGATTATCGTTGATAGTAATGTTATAAAATAAATACATCTTTTATTTTAACTAGATTCATCCAATGGGAGTCGCTTAGTCGATTGATTTGTCACGTGATGTGAGTAAAAACAAGTAAGACTTCCGGTAGGCTGTATACAACACACTAGTGCTTGACAACAGTAGCCCGATACACACTACAACTACACTACATTTCGTCCAATGAAAATTAACAATAAAATAAACAAAGGGGAATGACTCCTGCATCAATATTGAATAAAAACGCAAATGACGTCATGAGCACGCACGGAGCTCAACAACATCCTGCCGATAATAGTATTGATAGTTCCCATCGAATATCGCTCACAAATTTTTCTTGAAATAACTTTCTTCCTTTAATCATAACTGACGTATATTTATTGTCACATTTATGTATTTCATTTAAAAAATGCATGTATTCCAGAATATTTCGAAAGGTAAAATTTTTAAGTAACATGACATTGGGGAAGCACTGATGAAGTATCTTTTGTTGTGTGTAGCAGCCTAGTGATGGCTTACTCTCATCACGNTGATTTACCAAACGGCTCCGTAAAACACGAAAGATTCATAAAAATGTACTTTTTTTTAATCTGGTAAAATTTGTTAAATAACTTTTATACAGTCCTTCTATTTCATGAGTTAAAGAATCTAATTAATGTAAATATTATCCTCTTCATTATTGCTGAAGTGTAACTGTATGTAAAGCAAATAAACTTTATGAAAGGGATACAGTTAACATATGTTCCTGTAATGCAAGTTGTCCATTCAGTTTCCATCTGGATCTTTTTACCTTAGCTTACATGCTTATTCAAAAAAAAAAAAAGCATTATGATGTGTTGGCCTAGTTAAGGCTATCTCTGCACATTAGGTATATTGGTGTCCTAATGACTAATGTGGCATGGTATGAGTCACTGCAGTCTAAAGTCTAATCACTGCTGGACTTGTTTTTAAAAACAACATAAAAAGCCCAGCCAGTAAAACATCGCTTTTGTTAGAGGACATTGCCTGAATTTACAAATGGTCATAGAGTATGAATAACTATATTACATGGCAGTTGGATTCATTGAATTTAGCTGACCAAAGTAGAAAAGAAATTCAGAAAAGCTGAATATTGTGTGCAATACATTATGGTCATATACATTATGTTCATATAAATTCCTGTTTTTCATCTTCTAATATAGGAATTTTAATTCTGACAAGAAGTAGATTTTGACTGCAATCAAACAGTATTAGAATGGCTGAGGTGAGATTCGTTTCCAGCTTAATCTACCAGGTCATAATTGTACAGAATTATATCATGTGTTTTTATTGTAGAGATCCATTTAGTTTAAAAAAATAATGATTATCGTACCGGGTAAGTTAAAAAAAGAGTGTCAAGCTATTTTATAAGCATATTTTATATACACATAACACCAACGCAGTTCTTTTTTTGTCTTTCTATTTTTTTTTCTTTTAAAGAGTGATAAAAAAATGTTTTAAAAAAAAAACAAACAAATGCATTGCCTTTAAATTTGAGAAAACATTTGCCGATTAAGTTTAATAAAAACTTTAAAGAATAAATAAAAAGACGTTATATAAATGTAGTTATTCCTGTTGAGTGATGTGAGAAATTATTGTTTTTGATATGCTGCAGAAATCAATAGGCGTCTGTATGAAGGTAGACATTTCTGATCTAATAGGGAAACAAGTTGTGGGGTGGTCGCTTCACTGGAGCTGTGGATCCAGTGATGGAGAAATTTAATGCATCCATTCATTTTGACAAGCGGATGTGGAAGGCAGATATTGAGGTAGGCTTTGTTTTAAAAAAATATTTTTTCGTCGTCACCTGTCTTCTATTTTGTGGGTTTTTTTTCATATTTTTGACAGCCAATTTTCCAGTTTGACAGCTGTCTTCCTCCTTTAACTAAAGACTTTTGCTGAAGGGGTTTACTTCCAACCCCAAGAATAATAAACTACTGGACCGACTAACTCTAACCTTAGCCCTAACCCTAAGCTTGGGATGACTAAGCTAAGGCAGACTATTCTGTCATTGAATCACTGACTGCCACACATTTTGTTACTGTTAAAACTATTGATATCATTAGCTTGCTCGCCTGCATATATTCTTTTAGGACTTTTTTTTAAAAGTCAAAAAAGCACAAAACAACAAACCGTTATGTTCAAATATAAGGGTGCAAGAATATAGAGAGAATAAGTTTCATGCAATGTGTGTTTTAAGTAGGTCAAGCTCAGAAGAACTTGTTTAATTCTTGTGATGTTTGCTGTAGGGGAGCAAAGCTTATATCTTGGCACTGGAAAAGGCCAAGCTTGTCACAGCTGATGAGAGGGAGGACATCTATGAGGGTCTAGAAAAGGTGAGTGAACTAATGAAGGCTTTAAAAATAAAATAAATAAACTCTTGTGATATCAGGGAGGTTACATGTAACACATCCATTTGGTCTTGTTAGCTATTTCATCCATAGTTTGAAACATAAGGATAGACTCCAAGCCATGGTTTGAAACACAGGGATAATCTCTCAGCCGTAATTTGAAACACATGAACAAACTCCCACATTCCAGCCATAGTTTGAAACACCAGGATAATCTCCCAAATCCAATGCCAAAGTTTGAAACAAAAGTACAAAGTTCCACATCCCAGCCACAGTTTGAAACACAGAACAAGCTCCATCATCCTAACCATAGTTTGAAACACAAGGAATAATCTCACACATCCTAGCCACAGTTTGAAACACAAGAACAAGCTCTGACATCCCAGCCATAGTTTGAAACACAAGGAATAATCTCACACATCCTAGCCACAGTTTGAAACACAAGAACAAGCTCTGACATCCCAGCCATAGTTTGAAACACAAGGAATAATCTCACACATCCTAGCCACAGTTTGAAACACAAGAACAAGCGCTGACATCCCAGCCATAGTTTGAAACACAAGGATAATATTGCACATCTTTGCCAAATTTTGAAAGACAAGAACAAACAGCCACATCCCAGCCATAGTTTGAAACACCAGCTTAATCTCCCACATCACCGCTACAACTCCAGTTACAAGGACAAACTCATTGTTATGAACAACTGATCATTGTTATTCCTTTTCTATCTTTGTATACAATTCAGATCAGCCTCAGCCAAGTCCATTCTTGTTTCACTATTTTCCAAAAAATAAAAGTCTCTATATTTAACCATATATA